ATATAAATCACCTCCACCACCATCACCGCTCTCCACCACCACCATATGTATACAAATCACCTCCACCACCTTCACCCTCTCCTCCACCACCATACGTGTACAAATCACCTCCGCCACCTTCACCCTCTCCACCACCACCATATGTATACAAATCACCTCCTCCACCATCACCATCGCCGCCTCCACCATACGTATACAAATCACCTCCGCCACCCTCACACTCTCCACCACCACCATACATATACAAATCACCTCCTCCACCATCACCATCGCCACCTCCACCATACGTATACAAATCACCTCCCCCACCCTCGCACTCTCCACCGCCACCATACGTATATTCATCCCCACCGCCTCCATCCTCTCCTCCTCCACCACCTCCCGAGTGTACAACTCCACCACCATCCCCACCACCGCACAAACACTCACCACCAAAGAACATTCCGCTGCCTCCAGTAACAGGAGTTCCCTACGCATCCCCACCACCCCCCGTCATTCCATATTAATCTTACCACGCAACGCCTAATAATTCTTTGAGCTTTTATTTCTTGATTTTCGTTTAATATCCAATGTAATTGGTTTTTTTTTTTTTTATAACTACACTACATATATACATAAGAGCATGGGAGGGATAATGGGAATTAGCAGCAATTTTTTCATTTGTATACGTAAGTAATTCTTGTGTAAAATTAAAATTTCTAAATGCTTGTCTGCTGCTTGTGGATTGTTGAAATTGCTCAAACAAACACTACCCTACTTTTCAGTCACGGCCGAAATCGAGCAACAATTAGATCAATTGGGTATAAATGTACGGAATACATGAAAAATGTACAAGTTCGTTCTTCGTCTCTATTTCAGACTACGTACCTAAGAATCCATCACCAATTGAAATTAGTATAAAATTTGATGGAAATGATTATTATCTACGAAAGTGAATATTTACAACTGTAGGCTGCAAAAATAGGGTCTGTTGTACAGAAATTGCTAGTGGCAAAATTGGATGAAATATAAACGAAGAGATCCTCTTCGTCCGTGTATCAGCACTTCCTGATTCGGGTCCTACAGAGTTTATGTAGAATTCCTACTCTCAGTTCGAACAATCCATACACACGGGAAAAAAAAAAAAAAAAAAACCGAGACAAAAGCTTGAGTTACCTGGTTTGATCTTGAATTTAAGAATATTAGGCTGTCTCCTTGAAATGAATTTGATGGGATGGTCAGTAGACGGTCTGTGTCGGTCAGTTGCTGAAATCAACTGCAAGAAATTGCTCAAAGGTTAGTTTTCAATATTCCTAACGATTATCGATAACAGCGTAATAATATATATTTTTAGTAAAAAAGAGCGGGCACTTTCAAGAACAAGGAAAATGTGCAAGAAACCATTATTATCTAATTATGTATAGATATTATATTAGATTGGAGACGAGAATTGAACCTTTTCATCGTATCGAAAAAGGGAGTGATCAAAATACGGTGAAGGACTCTGTGACTGGCAATTGAAAGGCAAACTTGCTAACATCTGTTTCACAAACTGCAAGAATAACAAGTGTGGCATTTTTAGTGGAAGTTTCCGGGATAAAACAGACACAAAATTAAAATTGATATTATCAGTGAAAAACCGAAATATAATAAAAATAAAATAAAAAAAAATTATTCAAAAGAAGTACCTGAGGGGAGCTGGTAGCTTTAGTTTTATTGCATCTTAACTGATCGAGGGCATGAATGTTGTTTGAATGAGTTGATAAAAAGTTCATGTAAAATGAATTCTTTGATGACGAATGGAAGTGGTCACAGAACAGCTCAAACAATGTATAAAGCTCATCCGCTGAGTTCTACAATAAGGAAAAAAGGGGTCAAAATCGTCACAAACAATTTAAAACTAGCAAAAAGAAGGAAGTACAAACGGACCTGATAAAAAGAAATGATTTCTGTTGTCTCCATATTATATACAGCAAAGAATGCAGGGTGATTATCTGTATTTCGTCCCACCTGTCGCACCGGGAAATATAAATTAGTAACGAGCTTCCGTTGAAAATGTACAGCATTCAAAATTAAAATACGGGCAATTTTTTTAACTCGAGATATTATGAGGGATAAGCAATAAAAGAAGACTCACCCCACCATCGACACTGCCAAACTTGATCAATAGGTGATGGCGGTCTAAGAATTGGACCTGTGCAAAATAATCAACTATTTGTCAAAAAGTTCAATTATTAAACGAAAAATAAGATTTACGAAAAGCATATAGAAACAAATAACTAAATAGAAAATAATAACACACTCAGTATATGTGAGAATTCGAATAATAGTTACGATTCCTACCTTCCATATAACCAAATCAGCATAATCTTGGAAATGGAAATAGAACTTCTTCTTCAAGCATTGCATTCTCTGGTAACCATTAAATAAAAAATAATAATATAAAAAAATGAAATTAAAGAATCTCTACGGTTTTCATCTCAATTTATACAACTTACCAATGTTGGATCATCTTCTTCATTCCAAATTCCTCGAAATATGAAGGAGAGAAGGCGTTGTTTCAAACCACTCAAAAAAGATGCTTCTGGAATATGCTGTATATGATCCGAACCATTCGCTACATTATCAGTTCTACTTGACATAGACTGCGATTTAATTATAAAATTTCCCATCAAACCAACACATATAATTTCTCAACTCTGTACAATCAAATTTTAAAAATAAATAAATAAATAAAAATCGACAGTACCACTTGCCTGAGCACTGGAATTGAGAAAAAGCTCATCATCTTCACGGCAATATTCTCCAATGGAACGCACATCAACAAGATTCCCAGAATCTCTAATCTGAAGAATTTGAATTCTCTGATAACGGAGTGACACTATAGCTAGTAAATCATCGTACAAGAAAACACCCATGCTATGCGCCAAATTGATATAATCATTGCAGAAAACTCTCTCGTCGAGTATAACCCCATCTTCCAATCTAAATTAAATTAAAAAATTAGTCATATAAAGTTCCATAGTGTTTCCAAACTGAGAATTGGAAGAAACATAATGCAGACCTTACGAGGTGAAATGTTATTTTTTCAATTGACGGGATTCCTTGGATAGCACCTCCGACAGCTGGCGCATCGTGGATTTGTGGAGTTGAAGTCGCGAATATGCCGAATTTATTTTTTTCCGTGTAGAGGAAGAAGTCTTTGCATATAAGCTCGCCGCTCGAAGCGAGAGTGACACTGTACAATTGGGTGAAAAAGCTCTCGAATTTGTTGGCTTTGGAAGGAAGATCTTGATTGTGGCAGTTGCTTTCTCTGCAAGAAAACGACAGCCAAGTTGGTCTGTAAACTATGAGGTCCTGATGGTTCCTGCTGAAGGTTATAAGGTACTGTCCATCGTCGCTGAATTTACGAAAAAGAATGTCCGGGCATTCGATGTCGAATATTGTATGACTTGGAACTATGTTCTCGTAAAATCTTCTGGCACAGTGAACCTAGGAGAGTCAGTAAAAATGATGAACAATGGCATAGTATAACTATAAGCTCAATATGCTAATCTGTTGTGTTTCATCAAAGAAGATTCCAACATAGTTCAAACTTCCAATTCTGCCCCTACCTGCGTAACGAAATTTTGAAGCTCATCCACCACGAATTCTTTATATTCCACATTCGCCCCTTAAAATTAACATAACAAGAAAGTGGTTTTTACCCAAGATTCATACATCAACATTTGTATGCATATTCCTCATCATTCTAAAAACTAACTCCGAGTTCACTAAAGCTTACGACACGGGTTTTGTTTATGTACCTACTATCCATTTGGCACCATGTGTTCAGCTGCAGAGGCATACGGGCAACATAAACTCAAATCACTCGATAACCATACAAATTTCGTAACGGCAATGTAGTAGTAGAATAGGGTTAATTATAATCATCCCTCATCACACAACTTTGTAAAATCAATTATTTCAAAGCAATTATACTGTAGTTAGTTTTCCAGAACCTAACTCAAAATTAAACCCAAATTCCAAATAAAGCATTCCCAATACACGAAACACGAGCCCTAATTCAGTCGAACGAACCGATCTAGCCCTAAATTTCAAAATGCTAAACCTAATCCAGAACAGGAAAAAAAAAATAACGAGAAAATGAGAAATTAAAATAAAAGCCAGAGAGAAGAAAAACGTACACTGGTGCCGGGAGCAGGGGTAGAAATCTGGCGCTCGAAAATTCGGGCCGCAACATTTTTGCTTCTAAACATCAAGTATGAATGCCCCCAAGCAGAGATTCCACTCTTTCTTACTTAATTTTTTTATTTTTTTACGAAAATTACAGTTCTCCGTCTTGTTCAATTTTTGTTGGCGAGCCGAGAACAATCCTCCGGCCAGTTTTTTTTTTTTTTTTTTTTCACGAATCGGTGTTGGTGAGTTGGGTATGGAGAATTCGAGTGGAGGGAATCATAATGCAAAAGGGGGTAAGTAAGAGCAAAATGAAAAGAGGCGAAATTGAATGTATATATTTTTTTATTTAATTATCAAATTAAATTAAAATATAAATAAATGTGTTGCGCTGCATAGAAAGACGAGAGACGTAAGAGCAACGTTGTATATTTGCAGCCACAAACAAAAAAACAGTTGCAGATCATCCATCTCAAATTAAACCCAATTTATTTGTTACTATTCAGTATTAAGTACTCAGTGTTGTATTAAATATATTTATAATTAATTACATCAATTTATCTGAATAGAAAAGAAATATTAGGTGTATGGTTCTATATCATCCTTTCCAAATTGCTACAAATCATGCTCTAAAAAAATGGTGATAATATAATAGAAAATAAAAATAATCCTCTTATATATTAGGGTATATTACGGTCATTCCCTGAAATAAAGTTAAATTATGAAAAAACTCCTCATGTTTGGGTAATTGCAATCACCCACCCTCATCAACTACACGTCCATCTTACGGTGTCAAATTCAACATGTTCTTCTAGATTCCATGGAACGTTCACTAGTTTGCACTCGTTTTGTACAAAAAAACAGTTTCAGATGCACAACAATCTGATATTTACAAGTCACATCATATGATCATCTTGCTTCGAAATGTGAAGTTGGAATATAGCAAAGCGGGTACAAACTTGACAATATTTCAGATTCCACTAGATTTGTAACACCGCAATGGTGGATGTGTAAGAAGATTCATAGTTGAGGGATTGGTTGTAATTACCCAAACATGAGGGGTTTTATTGCAAATTGACCTTACTACCCTAATATATTATATATAAATATATATGTTTGTGATCTTGGGACCACCATTATTTTTTTTTAATATTTTTAATAATTTAAGCAAAATATCACCCATCTTCTTATCCATTCTTTTGTTGGGTCGTAGAAATATCAATATCAATATCTAGACAATAAAGTTGGCAAGATTCTTTAAGACAATACTATTAGGGGGTATGTTAGATTTTAATTATATTATAATTTCGAAAAAGCCTTTTCCATAATTGCCAATAGAAATTCGAATAAAGATGGTGCTGATAAGGTACTATTAACAATTCATATCCCCACAAATCTTTTAGTGTTCAATTTTTTGACCTAAAATCTGCCCATGCACACACAAAAAGAAAAAAAAGCAAACTTTAATTTTATATTTTGGATAAGCTTTGTCATCTCTTTAGAAACGTGACCTTTAATTGTTCTACCGACTTGCTTCCATCAGAAAGGACCTTCAAATATATATATACGTAGTATTTGCTATCGATCAGATCTCTTGATCTTGTGTGTGTAAAAATGCTGTTTCTTTTTTACCGACTCAACACAAAACCCTCTTTTATATATTTGCTTTGTAAAGTAAGTGGCCATGCAGTACACGTCACTACGTACACTAACTATAGTAGTACCCTCCTCGATCTATTTTCTCTTCTTTATTGCATGCAGATATTTTACATACATCATAAAGCAGATCTACCAATTCAAAAGGAAACTTCATCCAGTGACGTCATCCATTTTCCTTTAAACTTTGAGTATCTATCTATATATAGCTATGATTAATTGAATAATGATTCATCATTCATCAATCAAACAACTTCTTCCGGCCTCCATTTCTTGATATACCTCGCTCTGATATAATAATATATATATATATATATATATAAAATACATATATCTTCTGTTACAACAATGGCTTTGATGATGAGTAGCGATCATCAACTTGTGTCGTTGTGTGAAGCATTTCTTATATTTGCAGTGACAAGATTTATCTTGTCCTATGTAATGAATCTCTTAATTTCCTCCGATTCTTCTTCTTCTTCTTCTTGCTGCTCGTCTTCATCTTCCACGTCATCGTCATCGTCATCATCGGACAATTTAACTAGAATAACGGAGAATCTCTCCTTAACTACGGCTGGAAGCATCCAGCACAGGCTCCCGGAAAACCGGGACGATGTTTATTCGTCATCATGCGCGGTTTGCCTAAACAGTCTGAAAGAGAAGAGTCAGGTTTGGGAGCTCAGAAACTGCAGCCATGTCTTCCACAAGCACTGCCTCGAGAAGTGGATCGCCTACGAATCCACATGCCCTCTCTGCCGGGCTTCTTTGCATGCCGAGAGCACCTTTCTGCCGCCAGCACCGCCGCCTAGCTGGCCGGTGGAGCAAATGCTTTATTTCTTCGGAGATGATCTGCTTCCTTGATCATGTGGCCATTGATTATTATTAGATTTACGGCTGTGTATATATCTAAATTTGTGACTAAGAGCATAAATAAAATCAGCATTAATTCTTTTTCATAGAAGAGAATAATCTGTTTTTTTTTTTTGCTATGCTGCTATAATATAATTAGAACTGTAACCGAATTCCTTGTTGATCAAGCACATAATTTATTTATTTTCTCAATTTTGTCGCGCCTAAATTTTTATTTTATAATGCTAATCATTAAACACACATTTAAAAAAAAAATTTACATAAAATATATGAATTCGAGAATTGTTGAGAGAGCCATGGCCCTATATTGGCTCCGCCACTAGCTAGTTCATCGAGCTATAGATTACTTAGTGCCACATGTATCGCCAAGTCAGCACAAAAAAAAAATCATTGAAATGAAATTTCTTACCCCTTTTTTTCTGGTAATATATATATATAGGTCTTCATATATGAAAATTAATTTTAGTTAAATTATTTTGATGTCCTTACTTAGTAATAGCCTATTTTGATGGAGTGCCTCACTATTCAACTAACTTTCTTACAAAAACCCATTAAATTAATTAAAAACTATCTCATGAATTATATTCCATCTTGCAACGCCATAATTTTGTTTTTACAGGAGGAGACCATGCACACACACTCGAATGTGTGAATATATAGGGAAGAGAAGCAAGTAAGGATTTGGATCCAACGGCCACCATGGATTTCGGTGACATGTCGTCCGTCATAGTCTTATTCGTATTCGTTATCATCGGGCGACAAATAACCCACGTGGATGGCCTTGGTTGCAACTTGGGAACACAAACGACACACTTTCTCCCCGGGGAAATAATCGTAAATTTAATGCAAGAAAACGGGTTCGACAAAGTCAAACTCTTCGTAGCCGACCCGAGGGCGTTGGGTGCCCTCGGCGGATCCGGTATGCAAGTCATGGCCGGAATTCCGAATTTCATGTTGGCATCATTTGCAAGTAGCCCTCAACTTGCCCAACAATGGGTTTCCAAAAATGTTTCCTATTATTTATCCCAAAAAGTTGACATAAGGCAATCAATTATTAATTGAAGTGTTCTTATGAATTCATTTATCTAATTATTAATTTTTCATTCAATTTTTCTAAGTTGTAATGATTAATCTTTGCTAGATATGTTGCCCTGGGAAACGAACCGTTGCTCAAATCTTACAACAACTCGTTCACAAAC